CCACCCTGGAGCTGGGAGTGAGGTTAAGGCACTCAGAGTGAATGCTTGTCACTTAAAGCAGAGAAGGGTGCTCCCTCCGGAAAGGAAAGCCAGAGTGGGGAGGGTGGCGGTGGTAGGGGGGGTGAGCTTGGGGGAGGGGGAGGAAGCTGTTAGAAAAAGAACGGAAGAAAGACAATTCTGCAGGCAATCGATGCATGTACTCGACCGCCTCTGTATCCACTCTATGTTAACCTAACGCAGGGTCGGCAAACTCATTAGTCAACAGAGCCAGATATCAACAGTACAACGATGGAAATTTCCTTTGGGCCACGAGGTTTCAATCTCACTGTCCGTGCGCGCCCGCACATGGTATTTTGTGGAAGAGCCACACTCAAAGGGCCAAAGAGCCGCATGTGGCTTGAGAGCCTCAGTTTGCCTACCACGGACCTAACGGATAGGGGGAGAGATGCCTGAGGGTTAGGGTTAGGGTTAGGGGGGTGGCGTCCCGGCTGCCTGCGCTAAGGTGACGGGGGAAGGATGGCCAGGGTCCGTCCCGCACACCAGTCTTTGGCCGGTGCCTCCGGGTTGGTGCCTGCACGCAAGGCATCCCCAGGTGAGCAGGGAGCGGCCTATCAGGGCAGCACCTCCCCAAAAGGCGTGCGGGCTGTTCCTGGGGCGAAATCACTTCCCAGGGAAAGGGGAAGGCACGAACGGTGACCCAGTCCTCGTCTGTAACCCACATTCAGTCTTCTCCTGTCCCAGCCGGTGTCTGACTGTCAGACTGCCCACCGCCCCCTCAGCACGCCGGGGGCTGCTTCATGCCCGCCAGCTCCCTGTGACCTCGGTCTCCGTAGGGAAGGGCTGTTTCTACCCTCTTTGGTCCTCAGCCTGGACAGGGCGGGGCTCAGGCCTGGGAATACTTCAGAGGTCACCGAGCTCCTCTGAGCTTCCCCTTCCATCAGATGAGATCCTTTCTTGTTTGTGTTGCAACCCCCACCCCCCAAATTCGTTTGTGGAACCCTAATGCCCAAGATGATGGGATTGGGGGGGGGGGGTTTAAGGGGCTGTCTTAGGTCAGGGACTGGAGGCCTCGGTAACGGTAACACTCTTATAAAAGGTCCCAGGGCACGCCCAGGCCTTCACCACAGGAAATGACCGCTAGAAGCACCATCTGTGAGCCAGGAGCCAGGCCTTCCCCACGTACCCGATCTGCCGGCACCTTGGTCTTGGACTTGCCAGCCCCAGACCCGTGAGGAAAACGTTCCTGGTTTATGCGAATTCGTTACAGCAGCCCGATCGCACTAAGGCAGTCCTGCGATGGTCTATCTTCCTATTTCGTAAAATAACGGTGTGCTTACCAACGAAGGTGTCTGATAGTCAATATCCAGGCGGGACCCCACCTTTGACAAATGCCCGAAAGACCTGCCTGAGAACCACCCATCCCATTTGTCAGTCTCAAGAGATTCCCGTTACGTTCCCCACAGCGTCCTGGGTGACTTCCGTCACTCCCCACCCCTCTTCTATTTAAATATATCCTAAGGGCTCTCCAAATTATTGTTATTTTCATTTCCACGTGCACTGGTTACAGTGTTCCATGCAGTGCTCAATCTAGCTTGTATCTACTTTCCATTACCAGCTCACACCACCGCCGAGCGTGAAGTCATGGGAAGGACTCTGCCCTGTTTTGGAAAGAATAATTTTCATTTTAGCCTGCTTTGGCCACTAATTAGCTACATGTCTAACCTGTCATCATCTACAAAATAGGGGGGGGGGTGGTGATATGTGAGGTCCAATGAGATCATACGTGCGGACATCCTCCACAATCACCACATTCTGGAGTGGGAGGTGATGGTGGGGGGGGACAGAGGAAAGGCCCTCGCTTCCCTCCCCCCACCCTCCCCCACCGTCATGGGCAGCTTCCCCCCCCCCCCCCCCCCCGCAACCCTGGGGAAGAAAGGGGTGTCTATGCAAGTGTGATGATCATTTCCTCTGTGCACCCACACCACCACTGGGATGCTTTCTGTTCTGGAAGCATCTAGGAGACGTGGGAAACAAAGCAGCTGTTTGTTCCATGTGAGTGCACCCAGTTTCCAGCAGGAATGTGAACTCGGTTGCTTTAAATGTCAGTGTCCCCCTGACTCTGCGGGGATCCGGCAGGAGCTGCTAGCTTGGCAAGGGCCACTAGGGGCGCCTTATCTTGAGGTTTCTCAAGGCAGAGCGAGCCTGGACTTGAGGCTGGCTCTTTCAGTAGGACTGTCCAGGGACAAGCTCCCTTCTGTGTTTGGCATTAAAGTAGCAATCATGTGTTGGTGGGGTGCTTTCCTCCTCCTTTTTAACTTCCGGCTTCCCCCTGCTCTGCACGCTGTTTAAAACTCGGCCTGTCTTAGGCTATGGGGTGGGAATGGGTGGGCATTAGGGCACTAGCAGTCACGTAGCGTCCATCTGGGCTGGGTTTGCACCCAGGGCCTCTGTCCCCGGGGCACCTCCCAGTGCCCAGAAGAGGCTGAGTGTCTTGTGTCTGAGACGAAGACACTGAGGTGGTGTGTCAGAAGTCATGACCTCTGAACTGACCTCACCCCTCCTGAACACAGAACCTCTGAGCTTTTGTTTTTTGTTTCTGATTTTTGGTTTTGGTTTTGTCCGGGGATAAGAAAGAAGGCATGCCGAAACCGGTTTGGCTCAGTGGATAGAGGGTCGGCTTGGGGACTGAAAGGTCCCGGGTTCGATTCTGGTCAAGGGCATGTACATTGGTTGCGGGCACATCCCCAGTAGGGGGTGTGCAAGAGGCAGCTGGTTGATGTTTCTCTTTCATCGATGTTTCTAGCTCTCTATCCCTCTTCCTTCCTCTCTGTGGAAAATCAATAAAATATATTAAAAAAAAAAAAAAGAAGAAAGAAAGAAGGCATGAAGTCCTGGCTGGTGTTGCTCAATGGTTGGAGTGTCAGCCCCCTAGAACTGAAGAGTCTTGGGTTTGATTCCTGGTCAAGGGCAGGAAACTGGGTTGCAGGTTCGATCCCTTCCCCTCCCTTCCTTCTCCCCCCCCCCCCTTCCCCGCCTTGGGGCAGGTTCAGAAGGCAGCCAGTCGATGTGTCTCTCTCACATCAATGTTCCTCTCTCTCTCCCTTCCTCCCTCCTTCCACTCTCTCTAAAACTCAATGGAAAAAAATATCCTCAGATGAGGATTAATAAAAGCAACAACAAAAAGTGAAAAAAAAATTTTTTTGAGGAAACATTTGGCATTCTATGTTCAATTCTCTTCAACTGGAGCTCATCTTCCACTCTGTATGTCTTTCCTTCATGTTTTATTCCTGAAAATGAACATGTTAGTGAGTCATTTTCCTTTGTGCTTTTTCCCCTCCGGAACAATCCCAGATTCTTATGGGGTTACAGAATAAGTGGAGCTCAAGGCATTCTATAAAGCAGCAGCTCGAGGGAAGCAGTGAGGGGTAAATTACAGGAATGAGGTAGTACAAAGCCGCTAATAAAACCTACGATACAGGTGAAAGGCAGACGGTGCAATTTGCTGACAAAGCTATTTAGTACTAACTACCAAGAACTAGAAATATAGAAGATAAAAAAGCATAAATTATTTATTTAAAATGCAAAAAGTAACGGAGACTTAACGTAAAGAGGAAGACAGGAATGAATTTCCAGCCCCAACATTTATTTATGTAAATACTCACAAAGAAAATTTCTATTTTTTCTTTTCTTTTTCTTTTCTTCCTTTCTCTCTTTCTTCTTCTTCTTCTTCTTCTTCTTCTTCTTCTTCTTCTTCTTCTCTCTCTCTCTCTCTCTCTCTCTCTCTCTCTCTCTCTTTTTTACGTAGGACTGCATTTTCCTTAGACAAATAGAAAAAAAAATTACATTTTACTTTGGCACACTTGATCTGTGATTGGAGTTCCTAAAACACAATTCTTATAATGTGCTAAATCTTTTCCATTTCACAACTTTTTTGCTTGTTTTAAATGTCTGATTAATGTCAGACATTTTAATGTTTGATACTGTATTGTTACTACTTTTGTAGTAGTTTGTTTCCTAGATGTGTTGCTTTTCTCTCTAAAGACACACAAAAAAAATCCTCTTTTGAGAAGTCTTTGTATAAGAAAGGAAAAGCATAGTCTGTAAACCAACCAGATTTCTTAGGTTCATAGATACAATTTCATGGTTTCTCACAAAAAACCTTCATTGTGTAAATGATTTGGGAACATAAACCGAAATGAAACTCCTAGGATAACTTCTGGTTCACCAAAAAAGATGCAGAACGTACATTTGGAAGGAAAGGTGGGTGTGTAAGGCCAGGCCGGCGCTTTATGAGCGTGGACATTATTCGATCACTGGCAGGGTTTCCTCGGGGGAATCTGCTGGGACAGAGCAGAGCACCGTTCCCATTCGGCGTCTCCTTCCCGTGGGCACGGTCATTCGCGGCCTCCTCAGGGGAGCAAAGTGGCCTTTTCCTGGGCAGGAAACCAGGATCACGCGCTGCAGCGAGGGAGGACCCTTCCCTGGTCCTCCTTGGTTCAGAGGAATGAGCACAGCGGGGCGCCCCTGGGCCGGGTCAGGGTGCCCCGCGCGCCGCCCAGACCCGCTCGATGCCCGCGGAGCGCACCGCGCCCCCTGCCCGGACCCCCAGCGCCGCGCCCCGGGGCCCCGCGTCCGGGAGCTGAGCTGGGGGCCAGGAGCTGAGCTGGGGCGGGAGCGGAGCTGGGGCAGGTGCGGAGCTGGGGCGGGAGCGGCGGGCCGGCTGCCGGGCCGGGATCCCGGGCACCTGCCTCTCCGCGCTCCAGGGCGCTCCCCCGGGCCGGGCGCGGGGAGGACGCGCCGCACCTGGGCCCTGGAGCCGCGGCCCCGTCCCCGGGGTTAGGAAGGGGAGGGAGGAGAAAGGAGGAGAGAGGAGGGAGGAGAGGGGAGGGGATAGAGAGAAGGGGAGGGGCGGTGCGGTGGGGCGGGGGCCCGCGGGCAGGGCCGCTAGCTGCAGGGGCCTTGGCTCCGGAGCCGCACTGGCCCAGGGCCGCGGAGCCGGCATGCGGGCGCGGTGGCGGGCGCTGTGGCTGGCGCTGTGGCTGGCGCGGCTGGGGCCCGGGGCGCTGGGCGGCTGCGGGGACGCGGGGCGCTGCTGCCCCGGCCGGGACCCCGCCTGCTCCGCCCGCGGCTGGAGGCTCGACCGCGTCTACGGCACTTGCTTCTGCGACCAAGCCTGCCGCCGCGCCGGGGACTGCTGCTTCGACTACGACCGGGCGTGCCCAGGTGGGTGCCGGGGGCCACTCGCCCGCCGCCCAGGCGCACAGGGTCCCATTGCGAGGACCGCACCCCCGGCCCCTTCTATCCGGGCGGGTTAGCCCCTCTGTCCGGCCGGCCAGGCCCTCTCCATCCGCGTGCGCCCCGCTCCTTCCACCGGCTGCACCTGGAGTCCCCCACCCCCAGCCCCTGCGTCCGAGCCCCCCAGCTCCACCGAGCCCCCCAGCTCCGCCGGCTCAGCCCTCCACCTGGGCGCACCCCGCACCCGGGTCCCCCAGCTCCACCGGCCAGGGCGCACAGCCCTCCCCCTGTGCGCACCGGGTCCCCCAGCTCCGGGCATCGGACTTACCGCCCCGACACCCCTCCCGCCAGAGCCTGGGGAGATGGCACTGGCAGGTGTGTGTGGGAGGGGGAGGGAGGGGGCCCTGGGCCCGGGTCCCCCGCTTTCACTCTGAGACCCTCTGGGCCCCGAGGGTGGGCGAGGGGTGAAGAGGGAACGGGGATGGTCCCATGGCCCAGGGCTAGCGCCGGGAGCGAGTTCTGGGGGCGCACAGCTGCGCTCACTGGGTGTCGCCTGCAGGCCTCTCCCAGGAGGGCCCTCCGCTCCCCAACCCGTGTCAGGTGGGTGGGTAGCTCGATAAAGAGTCCAGTCTCGGGATTCCCATCTTGTCTCCGTCTTGCTGGTTTCCCCTGAGGGCCGGTCTGTCCATCCCGACACTCCCCACAGGCGCGCGCTGATGGGAAATGCGGAGGGAAGGGAGGCGCAGGGGGACGGGGGCGGAGGGGGTGCAGTCCTGGGGAACGGGGTGCACCTGAGAGCAGCGGCTCTGGAAGGAAAGGAGCCCCGCTCCCCGCGGGCACACCACCCACCAGCCTCACACCCGTTAGGGTTTGCGTCCGAGACCCGGTGATGTGGGGTCCTCGCATCCCCGCCCCCGCCCCAGGAGGTGAGGAGCCTGCAGGGCCGGGTGGTGGGCCGCACCCTCTGCCCCTCTTTGCGGGGAGACCCGCGCCGCCTGGGGAGGAGCACAGTTGAAAAGCATTGAGATGGTTTGACCCTGATGGGAAGCTAATGATTTACCCACCGGCGCTGATCTTTTTTGATGAGCTGCTGTTCCCTCGGAGAGGAGAGTGGGCTGTCCAGGAAATGCAGCCCCACCCTCCCCACCCTGCTCCCTGGCCCCCTGCAGCCCCTCACCAAGCCTCTCCCTCAAGGGCTTGGCCTGCATTTCATTCGTGTGTATGTGTGTGTTGTTTTTAATCCTGACTCAAGGATATTTTCCCCCCACTGATTTTTAAAGGGAGTAGAAGGGAGAGGGAGAGACACAGAGAAACCCCCCTGTGAGAGAGACACCTCGATTGATTGCTTCCTGAATGCCTTGCCCAGGGCCTGGAGCCTGCAACTGAAGTACGTGCCCCTGTCCGGAATCGAACCCGGGATCCTTTAGCCTGCAGGCCAACGCTCTATCCACTGAGCCACACCAGCTGGGGCCTTTGCCTGCATTTTAAAGCTAAATACGGAACTCCTGTAGTTCAGATCATGTGACTCAGACACAACTATGATGAAGGCACGGGTTCTGCCCTCATTCAGAGTCCATGGAAAAGCGTGTGCAACATGCTTGGCGCCAGGATAAGGGACCTCGAGGCTAGAGAAGGAAAACTTGAAGGACCAGAGGAATTCAAGGAAGACTTCCTGGAGGAAGTGGCAGGCAAACCGAGTCCTGGAGGCTGAGCGAGAGGCTTCCACAGGGGAAAGGAATTCTGGGAGCGTCCCAGCAGTTCCCTGTGGGTGTCGGCCTTCTGTGCCAGGCCCTGGCAAGGCCCTTTGGCCTGGCTGGCAAACAGGACAGGCCCGGTGAACAGTTAGCGGTGGAGGTTCGGGCGCAGAGAGGGATGGAGAAAGACGAGGCCGTGTCCTGAGGAGACCTGGCTTCCCGAGAGGACTAACACTGCTGTGAGCAGTTGCAGAATCCTCAGAGCCTTTATTTGATCAAAAATAAACCCCTTGTGTTCAGTCCAGCAAGTACAAATGTTTTTTAAAAGCCTGTCCTGTTAGAGTGGGGACTTAGGAGTTAGGAATACCAGGTGGCCATTCCGTCTCCGGAAAGACTCACAAAACCAGCTAGCCAGGTAGGGAAAGGCTGGGGCCGAAAAGACTCCTTGCTGGTAAATTCTCTGCACCTGCAGCCTTTTCGGGCTGAGAAGGAGAAAACAGAACAATTGAGACGGAGCCTGCTGACCCGCAGAGCTGAGGGCGAGAGGAAGGGGGTAGCACAGAGCTGACTCCTTGGTGAGGGGGGCTGCACTCGGGTTCCACCGCTGTGGTGCTGAGACTGCAGGGGGCTCTGGGTCACTGGTTCCAGGAGGGGACGGCGGAGGGAGAGCCACACCCAGGCCACCTGAGCTCAGGCTGCCGCCCGCCAGGCCTGTGCGGGCCAGTGCGTGGCTAGTCTTCGCTCCTGGGCAAACCCAGGCTCAGCAGGGAGTACTCTGCTGCTTAGAGCCTCTTCTTACCCAGTGCTACTGCAGGCCGGAGCCTCTTTGACAGAATGGCATTAAATGTGGACAGAACACGGAACCGTGTCCGAACTCAGCACGCCCTACTTCTGCTCCTTCTGACTTTTCCATGCTGATAAACACATTATGGTGGTGGTGGTGGTGGGGGGTGTATTTATTTTTTGTTGTTGTCGTTTTGGTGTGGCTAAACGATGAGATACTGGAATGTCTCTTTCTAAATAGAAATAAGTTATTGGATCTATAGAATTACTAAGCTGTGTCTCTCCCCCTCCCCCCCCCCCCAAATATATTCTGAAACCGTCTCAGAAACTCGCATGATGATGATGATGATGGCAAGGGTTTTAATGTCAAGGATGTCTTTTCACCTCTCCCCCCAAAAAGATAAGCAGTTCTCCTTTGGGCTGATCAGGAATGGGGAGAGGAGGCAGGCGGAGGAGGGGACAAGTCTGTGTTTCCTGTCTGGACAGCCTCCCGGGAAGGCTTGCCTCTCAGGCTCAGCACAGCCAGTCTCTGCACCAGCCGGGCTGCTGGTGCCTCCTCCTAAGGTCACAGAAGCGGTGGCCGCCTTAGATCTTGGATGCGCTGCTTCAGGAAAGAGGAATAATGAGCCCGCGCAGAGGGAGGGGGACAGAGGCGGAGCAGCCTCTCGGGCCGGGACTGCAGAGGATGGAGGAAGTCCACTGGCCGGGGCTGCTGACGCCGGATCTGGAGGAAAGTGGGGCAACATAGGTGAAAATAGGGGCTCTGAAACTCACCCCGAGGAGGGGTGTCACTGGGTGGTGCAGAAAGTTGAGGCTTTCCTGGAGCCAGCGTGGCGGAGGGACGGCGTGCAGCTTCCCCTGCTTTGTCTGCGGGGCCGGCACCGGCACTCAGCTTGCAGGACTCGGCTGCAGCCCTGGGTGTTGCCGTCTGGAGGGCCACGTTGGCAGGCTTACCCAGCGTCTCCTCCGTGCCCGGCCCTCCTGCGGGCACTGACTGAGGGCCCACCCCCACCGAGGTTACAGGCATACCTCGCAGATATTGCGGTTCGGTTCCAGACCGCCGCCATCAAGCGAGCCCTGCTCTTTCTGCGGGCGGACGGTCTTACTTTCAATTAAACAAAAGCCGAGAGCCGGTGTGGCTCAGTGGTAGAGCGTCGGTCTGCGGACTGAAAGGTCCCGGGTTCGATTCCGGTCAAGGGCATGTACGTTGGCTGCGGGTACATCCCCAGTAGGGGATGGGCAGGAGGCGGCTGGTCGATGTTTCTCTCTCATCGACGTTTCTGGCTCTCTGTTTCTCTCCCTTCCTCTCTGTAAAAAATCAATAAAATATATTTAAAAAAAAATAAACAAACAAAAGCCAATGGCTGTGAAGCGCCATAAAGTGATGCCCACATTGCTCACGTTGGTCTCTCTGACGGACAAGGTATTAAGGCCAGGGGTAGGCAGTTGGTCCACAGTCACACCACTGGTAGGTCAAAAGGATCGAACCCTCTGGCTCCAAAGCCCCCATGGATAAGCATCATGTTTCTGAGCCTCAGAGAAACGAGGCTTTCCCAGAGGCTGGGTGCGCGCAGGGCAGGCCCCGCAGGTCCTGGCGGAGGAGCGAGCCTTCTCTCCCCATCGACGTGGCCCCCCCAGGGCAGGAGCGTGTCCTCCTCTGCCTCCCCTGATGGCTATCTCGGGGCTTCGGCAACATTTGTCAAATGTTGTCCCACATGTGTTGATGTAATCGGTGGCTCCCCAGGCACTGCCGGTGGGTGTACCCACATGCCCTTTTAACAATAACATTTTTCTTCCTTGACTACAACGTGTGTGCCGCACACCATTCGGAAAATACAGAAATGCGCCGGATAAGGGAACAACTCACCCAGAACGGGCGTCGTGGTCTTTTTAATTTGCATCCCCCTCTTTTTTTTGGGGGGGAGGGGGGTTTACATGGTGCCTAATACCCCAGCTTGCTGACTGGGCAGCCCATTTCGTTGTCTTGCTAGCATTCCAGGCGCTTGCCCAGTCAACGTGTTGAAAGACCGACTCCCCACCCCACAGGGGCTGGGTGGCTTGGCTTCTGCAGGAGAAGGCGATGCTGATGGTTTGATTGGAGATTTTCCAGGGGGTACCTCGTCTGTTAGACAGTGTGGTCTCATTGGACCACCAGAGCAATTCTGATGAGGTTCCACAGGAAATACAAATGTAGAATGGAGGCAGATAAAGACCATTTCAAGTTGTGTCACCCTGGGCAGGATGTGTGTGTGTGTGTGTGTGTGTGTGTGTGTGAGTGTGTGTGTGTGTGTGTGTGTGAGTGTGTGTGTGTGTGTTTATCTCATTTTCTTCCAAGAATGTCAGCGAGCAAAAGCCACGCAGTGGGCAGAGTGTGAAAAGAGCACTTCCTTGGGAATGAGGAGGACTCTCTGCCCTTAACAGTGTGAAGGAGAAGGCCCTTGATCGTGGGTGGCCTTCAGCTTTGAGGCTGGCAGAGAGCCAAGCAGGCAGGGCCGGATTACAGAGGGGGAT